GAAAAAAGTAATGTACTTAAGTCAAGAAAAGGATGTTCATAATGCATCTGTAAGAAAATAGAAAAACCATTTGCATTCTGTTAAAATATAACTGCATCACAATTGATCTGCACTGGATGTCTGATGTTTTGTTGTCATGTTGAGGTCATTCTGCTGGACGAAATACAGAAGTGCCACGTTCTACAGCCTGAGTCCTGAATCTATAGCCTGGCCGTCTGTGGGAGCGGATCCTTCTCATTTAATGGGCTTCCCCGAGGTTTCTCACTCTTTTTCCCTCCATTTTTTTTTTTTGCGGTTGAGTTGTTTCTTGCCCACGCAGGAGAGACTAAGGACAGTAATGATCTGGGACATTGAAGGACATTTATGGACATTGGTCATCCGGCTCCATATGGACCAATGGCTTCTATGTGTTTGCTTTGATTACATTTCTTGTGTTCGGGCTGTTTGATTCTGTGAGCTGTTGTTGGTCAATCGACAACTTTGTAAAGTCCTTGAAGACGACTGCTGTGGGGATTTAGGACTGTACAAAAATAAATGAATTGAATTAAAAATGTAAATACAACATGTACAACAACAACAAGGTGCTGTGTTGATAAAGTGCACGTTCCTACAGTGCCACTATCCAATTTCAATTGAAAAGGTATGTTTTTCTGATTTGCACTTTGCTGTACTATCCTTGATTAAAAAAGCAATCAGACAGATGTGATCCACAAGCTTTTGCTCTCTGACATTGTGAAAGCAGTTTCCAACCTTTGCCTCACCTCTCCAGCCTTGTTCATCTTGTGAAAGCTCTTTTGCATACAACTCCAATAACTCTCGGGAGAAAAGGGACAGCGTAAATTGGATTTCTTCTGCTTTGTTGGGAAAGCGGCATTTGGGCACTCCACCCCAACGCAGGTTTCCCTCCATCACTTATGCACTTCAACATAAGGCTATTAGACTAGTGTAATCTTTACAGGACCAGGCGATAACAGCAATGTCTTAAGCTCCTCCAGGGCTTAACACAGGTGTCTAAGAAGCAGTAAGTGTGAAAGTTTGTTATTATACCAGAGGATCAGCTAGGCTCTAGAAGTAGACTGTGAAATTACCGCGTAAGCCATGTACTATAATGCGCCTGAACCACACAAGCTCTCAGCCAGTTAATTACAAAGAAAGTTCTATACACCAAAACTGCACAATCAAAGGCATTTTTCACAAGTTGTTTTGCAGTCCTTAGTTGACCTGTTTTCTTGTCCTGTTTTGCATCTTGGTTAATTGGTTTTGCTTGTATTTTTGGGCAGTAAAAGTAGCTGTTACTGAGAAAAGGCACGATAGGTAGCCGTTATGATGTACAATATTCTAGACAAAGCAAAAACATCTTCATGACAAGTAGCTAGCTGACCTCAAAAGTCTGCATCTAAATATTACCAGGGGGAGTTAGAGTTGTTGTAGTTTCCCGGATTTGTCCTAAAAAGTAAGGCAATATTACACAATTAGAGGCGAAAGTTTTGTAGAGACATAACTTATAACACCTACTCACAAGACCAAAATCTATTCATAGAAAAGCCAGTGCCATGGGACGGACTGAATATGGGCATGCATTTCAAAATCATGTTTCATTTTGTGCAACAGTGTGTGCAACAATGAAATCTTGAACTGGTTTTCAGGGTCTTAAATCAGGCCAAATGACTGGACTTTGGGGAAATCAGTGCAGCGGGTATAAAGTTACATCAGCCAACTGGCCCAGCTGGGAGCTGCAAAGGTTTAATCAATTCTCTTTGGCTTTAACATTTTATTTTCAGATACGAGAATAATTTACGCCAGTTAACGATGTCATTATTATTTGGCAAAATGAGATAACAGCGAGTAATACGATTATATATATTGCCCTATTACGAAGCACATTTCCATTCAAATATTTGAAGGAGTGATTCAATCATGTCAAATCAGAGTTAATTTCAAGCACTAATAATGATAACGGCAAAAGCACTACTCAGCGGTATTATCAAAACAACTTTATTAATTGCTGAAAAACATGTGCTTTTATGCTCTCCCATTTTTCTGAACCCAAATTCTACAAACTTGTGTTAACTAATTATTTTCACTTCATTAAACATATTTTATTGTGGCTTTTCAGTTCTAACTTTGTCCATTTTGCTTGGTAAGTGGTCATTGCCTCTGCAAAATGATCTCAACAAATCACGTCTTTCACTTTACAAAGGTAAATTGTTCAAAAGTGGCCCGTGCCTTTCTGGATAATTTTTGCTTTCACATTTCATGTTTTAGAATGTGAATTATAAGTTATTATATATGTATAAACACACCTCTCTCTATTGATGGGAGTGAAGAATGAAATTATTGATTAGTTTTTTAATAACAATCAAACATAGTGATGTTTTTCTTAATTTGATAAATAATAATAATGCATCATCTTTTTTTTCCTCAAAGATGCTTCACATGTCATTATTTTGGAGGTGATACACTACTGTTGTAGCCACAGCTGCCCTGGGGAAGACTGGCCGAAGAGAGGCAACTAGTATGTGCCATGGGCCCCTCTGATTACCACCAATCATACACACAGACCCATTTGTTTATTTGGTTGCTTCAGTGTGTATTAATGAACAGAAGTTCTGCAAATACACCAGATTGTAGCCTTGGTGAGATTTCCATCTGTAGCCCACAGACACTCACAAACCCACACTCATTTACCCTGAACTATTTTACATGTTTTAGATTTAAGGGATAACAGAGCACCTGGAGAAAACACAGATGTGGAGAGAACATGCAAAATCTACATAGAAAGGCCCTGTCTTTTCTTTGTATTTGTCACAGTTTTCCAAGATTGAGCCTTTACACAGAAGGGAGGGGGACATGTTTGTGGAGTTAAAACTATACATTTATTGTATTAGTGTGGATGAAGCTACAAACTGCCATACATATAGTTTTTAACAGATACAAATGTTGTAATATAAACTCTAAAGATGATTTCACATGCGTGTTTGTCTCAGTATAAACTTGAGCTATTGCATTTGAACCGCACCAGAAACATAACATGATTTGAAAAGGACCAAACCAAGTCTAAATCATGACTTTTATGTTTCCACAAAAAGGTCATTTTAGACCACACAAAAAACACCCTCACTTGAAAATCAGTGCCGCTATGCAGCATTTGTATTTCCAGCAGCCTCCGTCCATCTGCTTACAAAGCCAAACATTCATGCACTGGACAACACAAAAACATGTGAATTATTTAACACAGAGGGGAAAAAAACAACCAGAAAACCCAATGCTCCAACAGCAGATCGTGACAGTTTAGTTAAGGACTTTGGTTGCTTAATTTCAACACCTGTACTCACCAAAATCAAATCAAATTGTCTGTAAGTTAATCAGGCAAAGCTAAAACTAATAGAAAACCTGCCATGGGAATGTAAATAAACATTAAGAGGCTGTAATTACCTTTGAGGAAAGCAAATACCGTGACAGGCATCGTTTCATTTCAAGTTGATCAGGTCAATTCAAACCCATGATTTGATTTTTTAATCTACAGATGGATTTTACTGTAATAATTTTCATGAAGTTGTTGAGTATCTTGCAAACAAAGTGGTTCATACACATTTATTTAGATACGTTTTACTCAATAATATTAAAGCCAATAGGATACCAGTTTTTTTTTTTTTTAAATATATATATTTATCATGTAGAAGGGATTTGAGTAGCCGAAAAAAAACATGCATTGCTGTCACTATATTCTGTAAGAGATCTGTAAGAGATGACAATCTCTATAATTCACAAATGGTCTACTAATGAACACATTCCAAATTGACTTCAACCCAGAATCAATTTTAACATGAGACTGTGAAAAAAGTAATTATCTTGTGGTTGAGTTTGTAACCAGTGCATTCATCATCATTTATCTTTTAAGATTAGACTGTGTTTAACTATATCTACATTAAAGCTCTAAACGAATTGGTGTTATTTAGTAGAAATTTCAAAGCTGCAAAATGTAGTAAGCCTTCTTTATCCCAGTTCCCATAATTGTGTACAGACATGACCAAAACAGATACTTTTAACTTCTGTATAAGTCAAATAAGTGACAGATACAAGATCAATTGTCTTGTAATGAGTCCAAATATTACTCGACTTTTCCTGCATCACAAAAGCTCTTAGTAAAAAAATAAGCAATCATTCCACCAACTTTAACTCTTACAATAGGCACATGGCATTCAGTACATCGTTTTAAACCTTCCAGTCAATTTGTTTGACCATTTCCACATTTATTTATGATTGATGCAAAGTGGTCGCTGTCGGTGCAGATGTTGCCAGTGGAAAGAAGGAGTCATTTAGCTTTGCCAGATATCATTTTAAAGCTCACGAAGCACAGGCCAATTCCAATAGCTACTTAATTCTTCATTATTCTAAAACTGGAGATTTTAGGCTTGCTTCCATATTATGCTAAAGCACAAGATTTTATTTCAGTATAGAGTTATTGTTCATGTATCTTGTGTTGTGTGCTACTGATTCCTACTGTTCTGTAATTGGTGATTAGAGTTGTTCCTTGCCAATGCAGGAGGGTCAAAGGACAGTGGTGATGATCCAGGACACTCAACTATCAACAACATGGGCAATATGGACATTTTTCCACATTTATGGACATATGGTCACATTTATGGTCATCTGCTCCCTATGGACCAAAGGCTCTATTTGTTTTTTTATTATCACATTCCTTGTGTGTGTAAGGTTTGATTCTCTAATCTGTGTTGGCAAATTCATCAGTTTGTGGAGTCCCCCGAGCTCCAGTTGTGATTTAGGGCTATACAAGAATACATTGAATTGAATTGATATTCCCCACTGTGGCACAAACGAATTCTCTTGTTTGAATTGAAATAATTGCGAGTAGATGCATCTGTATCAAACATGTGTGTTATTTGCGATTATAAAGGCGGTTTGTACAGCCACACATCTTTCAGGCTGATAGTCCTGCTACACAGTTGGCTTGCTGGAGAGGTTGTGTGTGGACTTACAGGAGGAGTGGCTGCTGGGAAAGCTCTTGCGTCCCTCCGACACGACTTCAGCTTCTCCAGTGCAAAGCATTTTCACATTCACTTGTCCATCGGGGAAACAGCGCTGGAAATAATCTGGCCGGGGTCTGACGAAACACACCAGAGACACATCGCACTGTTCACAAAAAGGTCCCTCGACACAATGTGAGCCCCATTCACATTAACATAGTCTCAGAAGATCCCCTGCACTGGGCGGGCATCCAGCTCTCTGAATCCTGACACAATTAGATAAACTGGTATGCACTGTCTCCGAGGAAATGTACAGGAAAATGCAGGTTCTAGCTGCGTTCACATGCAACTAGAGGATTGTGTGAAGGGGCGAGCAGAGGTACAAAAATACTGAATGAGTCACCTTACCTGCCAACAATAAGTTTGATTGTGTTTGTGAAGACTCCATTGAGGGCGAGGGCCAAGGACACCGCTGGAATGAAAACAACACTTTTGTACTTATTTTTCAAAGGAAACATTTCAATGGCAAAAATGGATTTGTTGGGATCAAATCAAGTTTATCATTTGTCAACTTCACTGAAGGAGTTAGCCCTGTGCAAGAATTTAACTTTGTGGATTATTGTAGGCAGACGTTTTCCCACAGGTTGGTAGATAGAACCATATGTGTTATATAAATAAAGTGGATGGTCTCAGGTGAATTCTATTGTTGCTGTGAGGTCTGTAAGTTTAATCATTAATTCATGCTATTCATTTCATACTATTGTGAACGACATTTCAAGCTTGATCTCATTCATTCATTCATTAGGGTTATTATGCCATTTAGATTTTTAGTTTCTGAACCATAATTTGATTGCTCATTTATTCCAAACTGTAAGTGAATCCATAACGTTCATAATGATTGCTACAAGCCAATTACCCACACCAATAAAACATGAATTATGTCAATACAGAAGTCATTTCAGAAGCATAAAACGATAAACTCAAATGCTTCAAAGAATATAGTTATCACACAGAGGGTAATTCTGATGCGAGACGGACCAATTAAAAACAGTTTGAAAAATAACTTGATATCAGTAGCAGATGATACGTACGTCATTCAGTTCCACAGAAATAGAATATCTTTCAGCGACTAAAGTACTTATTGTATTGCCTTGTTCTACAGTCCTGTTGAAAGAAAACATGCAGTACAAAATAGATCATGGTGAAGATAAAATAATACATCTTTTAAGTTCACAACCAAAAGAATGTTGAAAAAAGTGTTGTGACCTATCCTTTCTTGGAGCTTGTAAAGTCTTGTACCCTGCCAAGCTGTTGCGACGAAAAGCCAAAGAAATTGCGAGTTTTCCGTTGATTGTGAAACTATAGTACCCAGCGGAAACACATTGTTTCTCAGCTTCGTTCGTCTTGGTCTATTTTAATAGTACTATATATTCTTATTAGGCAGTCCTGCGTCCAATACCCGCTGTTATGAAGACAAGTTTCTTACAATCCAGCCAATTATGGGAGCAAAAGCGGTGCACCTGCTCATAGTTTAGAAGCCACCATAGTTCTTTTTTCCTCCTCACAACAGCGGCCCCACACCCTCGCTCTCGCCCACAGCCTGATTAGTAATTGCTTTGAAGCCCAATGTCACACAGTTAAGGGCTAATGATTAATCAGAGCTTTGCCAACCACAGCCTCTCACTGTTCTAGTACTCTGCTGTTACAGTATAAGTGCAGCGAGCCTCTTGATTGGTTGATTCAAACCGACTCCTCTGTCACTACAAGTTCCTAAAAATACAAGCATTGGCTGATTTTATCTTTTCATGGGTGGCTGCTGAAACTTTTCTCCACTTGCTTGTCTCCATGGTGAAAATATAACATGGTATATTTCATGGTATGGCCAAAAACATGTGAATATTATGCCACATTATGCAGCACTAAGTTAGGGACATGGGAAAATATTTTTTGTCAAATTGAAAAACAAACATTGTGTGAAATGTTTTTTGGATGTCAGTAAGAGAAAGTGTCCTGGATTCAGAAGCTCATGCTAGTTTTCCAAATGATCTTTTTATTACTTTGTTTATCAGTTGTGCATCAAAAATAAACTTTATTGAGTCAAATGTACAGTTTCTCAACAGTTCTCTCAACAGCAACTTGATTCTCTCGACATTCAACTTGGCTACAGATTCAATGTGTTTTTTTAAACTCGCTGATGTTGTCCATGCCCTCTGGACATGTGTCGGCCAAACAACTCCAAGACATTTTTCATTGACCGTGGTTCATTATTTGTATGGCAGGTCCATGAACCCCCCAAACGCAAACAAAGCTCTTGCTATCTCCTGTTATGACTGATAGTTTTCATGCTTTGTAAACAAAATCAAACAAGCACTGGGAGCCCAGCTTGCAGGAGAATTTAATTAAAAGTTCTGTAATTTGGTGGGAAATTGGCTGCAGAACTTTGGGCAAAGACAAGTTCAAGATCACAAAAAGATCTTGAAATTAGAGAGTGGACCATTGTTAATATAATTGTTATTGACCCCACAATCTCAACAAAGAACAAGGGTTTAATCAAGTGGTTATAGATTTTCTGTTACTTGACATTATGCCTACAAGCGTTGGCACCAAAAGGGAGCTTGTTTGCAAAGCTACAGTAGACTTATATCGATTTAGCCAAAAAGACCGAACTTTTGATATATACACAGGACAATATACATAGAACTGTTGGTTTTTTCTTTGAGTAAAGTTTTCAATGATACTCAGATGAGACTAGCCCTAGTACCATGTTTGTCTGAAACCAAAAAAAATACCTGCAATTAGAAAGTTACATGAAAAATATGTAGTTCTTTTAGTTCTGCAGCTTTAAACACACTCATTCTCTTAAGCCTTAGGGACAACTTTGAACTCTAAATCCGCACTAGTTTTACTTTCATCCTTTGATCCTAGCAGTAACACATGTAGTCCAATCGTGTATCTGCTACAATAAAAACCATGTGAATAAGCTGCTTTTAACTAAATAAACATTGGGGAGAATAATAATTTCCCCCTCTCTGCTTCTTTGACTGATGCTGTTTTGTCGCACACAAATACAGTTCCACATAAGGGTCTCTCATTGCCCGATAATGGCCTCCGCACTCGTGAAATCTGGATGTGCCTCGCTTCATCTTCCCGTGTGTCTCTTTAATTGGGTTTGCGCTCAACTTTCCTAATGTTTTGTGACACTACGATAATTCTGCAGGACTTTTAAGAAGGCAATGAGCCAAATGGCCTGGATAGCTCCACTTAAATTGTGATTCAAGCAGAAGTTATTTTTCTTAGGCTGCAGCTTTTATAGGTTTAGACTTCAGGGTCAGCATCAACATGGTGACTCATGGCAAGTGTATTTGTGTAGCACAGTCCATACACAAGGCAACTGATGAGGCATTAAACAAAAAACAGTCATAAATAATCATAAATGTCTACAGTACATGTAGAACAGGGAAGATACAACATACAGATAAAGATACACATCCTTCAGTTGTTTTAAACTGGATTTGAACATAGTCAGGGTAGCAGCATTTCAGGAAGACGGTGTAGCTGCATGACGTGATAACAAGGAGCTTGGTTAAATTCTTTGCTTAGAACCTCATGTGATTTTGATATTTGTTTTGATATTTTGTATTTAGCCATTTTTTTAACCAAAAGTTACATACAATTACAGATTATAAAAACAGTTACATGTCAATGAGGACATCTCAAGTGCTCTCAATCTGGAGTTAAAAGCATACATTGAAATAAGCTCAGTTATTGTCCTGTATTTTTGCAACACGTTTCATGTAAAAATAGCATTTTGATTGATTTTCTAGTCACACATTGGTTTAAAAGAATGAAACTAATTTAAAGAAGAAATATGACACATTATTTTTGTCTATCAAAAATTACATTGAGACTATCTACTGTCATTTCATGTATTAGGAGGTGAAATACAGTAGAAAATACATTGTTAAAAAGCATCACTTTCTAATGCTTCTGCTGCCTTCATTGCTCATAACTGCTTATAAAAACCAATGAGCAGGGACACCTCTGAAAATAAGATTACTACTTAGTTCACAGATCTAGCTTCAAACTCCTGGGGCTTAGAGTCCCCACTGAGTTAGTTTAATGCATGTGAACAATCGATATTCTCTGCATGGCAGCGAGCAGCAGAGCTAAAGTGAACTTTTAATATTCTGAGCGCTGCAGAAAATCAATCTAAAACCGAAAATATTTGGTTTGAATGACCTCCTAAACACTGATCTTTATCAACTTAAATCTGTTATGTATTTTAGTCAAAGTGTAAAAGGAAAATTGTGATAGTTGTCAAAATGAAATAGTACGGGCCCCCAGCACTCCCCAGCTGATCTAAATGATTCAAGACAAACAAAAAAGTAAAGCACACTGTGGTTTGGGTGAATTAATGAGCCATAAGAAGCAAGAGAAGAAGGCCTGGAGAGAAAAGAATGAGAGTGTGTTACACCTGTTCACATAATAGGTTACAGATGTGCTATTAATTAGAATCAAAACTAGATTCAATCATTTCATCATCTTGGGGCTTTGTAATTGTGTAAATCTAATCCTGCGTCAAAAAAAACACTGTTGGAGAAGACAATATTAATGAAGGATCACCCTCCCTAAACAGGGAGGTTTCAGATAGTTTCATTGAACAGGTGATATTGAATGTTCAAATAAACATTCAATATCACCAAAAGTAAGAATAAGTAATCAAACTGTAAATATATACAAAATATATATTGCCCTTTCTTACCTTTTCATGCTAAAACAAGCGCACCAAACTTCACCGCTCCAGTCATTTACATATCTGCGCGTCACGACAGCATTGTCTTGATTACCATTGACCGATTTGAAATTCCATCGAAATGGACACGTGGTACAGGATTACATTGTGTTGTAATTATCATCATTCTCCAATTAATGAACTCATCTGTCACTGTGCCTTGCTTCTCACTATGTTCCCATTCTTCCTTTGTATTTATTTATGCTATTGATTTTAGTAGTTCACCATTTCTTATGAAGTTTCTGGGATCCAACTTTTATCTGTTTCACATTTGTAGCGCCTAAAGGGCTATCATGCTTTGGATCAATGGATTTAAATTGGACTCTGCCATGTAACTTGTGCTCCTGCAGAGATACACACCAGCTCCACACATACACACACATGTCTGAGTGAGGAGGGTGCTAACCACTTGGGCACTATCCATTGATTTGACAAATACCCCAGAATGGAGCAACAATCTGATTCCATTTCAGACCCTTTTGTTTTAAAGAATTTTCTCTCTGAAAGGGCAGGTGTGGCAGGGAACACTGGACATTAAATCTACTGCCAAAAGCAATTACTGCAGAACGCTCCGAGTTGATCCGCCAAGTCCCAAGAGCTCAGGCGCTTCACGCACACAACAGGAGGATTCCTTTGTGACTGCACCGTTTATCACAATCACATCAAAATCGCAATCTTAGTTGACGTAAAGACTGACATGACTAAGTTTATGTCAGGGACAGAACACAGACAACATTTCTCTTGATTTCTTTCTTTTGTCTTGCATTATTTTTCGTATCTTTGTGTATAATCTCAGTCGTACAGGGGTTATTCAAAACAAAGGAAGGTTGCTCACCCATCATCTGTTCTTCAGTTAGCAGGTTTTCCCGACAGTTTTCACATCTGGAAAACCTGCCAACTAAAGTACATTATTTCCATTCATCGTACATAACATATCCGGCACAGACTATATTTCTAACCTTTAACACACTTCATGTCTTTTTGTGCAATCTGAGTGACTCTATCTATGCCAAATGTGACATGTACATTTCTCCATTGTGAGATCAATAAAGTTTATCTTATCTTATCATAGTTAAATAGGCATCAATATATTTTCGCATAACTCAGGTCTGACTATTTTTTGTACGTATCTTCAGATTTTGAACAAATTAAGTCATCATTTCATATGCGTAACTCCGCAGCTGTCCTTTCCGCTTTCTTAACTGACGACAGGTCTGGTATTTGAAACAACCGGTGTGACCTTGCCCATCTGTCTACAGCTGTTACTTGTGTTGTTTTTGAAGTTAATGATTAATTAATAGCTCACTCATTCGTTTAAAGTCAATCTATAACACATCTGCAAGTGAGATTTCTACATTGCATTATTCAGAATATTACCAGGAGTCATATACACTTGAGTACTGTATTTAAAATCAAGAGTGAAACACTGCACTTATGTTTCATGAACTGATAAAAATGTGTGAAACATAAATTGAAATGAGTGGGTCCATACCTAAACATGCCTCTTTGATCTCCGTCCTGTCTGTCCTCTGAATTATCTTCACCACGAAAATCACAGCCAGTGGAGTGAGGAAGGAAATGGCCTGAAACAAAACCACGACACAAATATTACATCCGCATTAGACAAATATCATTTTGAATTCATATGAAATGACTTGTGCCTGTAGGAATTTCACAAACCCATCTATGATTTAATGTGCAATTTAACAAGGAAAACGAGGAGGCCAATAGGCTTTTCATTGTTGGATATGAAGACAATTTGCCCTTATTTAATTACATTTTGAGCGTTCTCTCTTCGTATTACTCAAGACGGATCGAATTAATTACAAGTTATCAGATTTCATGCCTTCACAGCTCAGGTATTAAAACAAAGAAGAGGTTTCCATTTCATCAGGGCTGGAGGAGGATTTCCCTGGAGACTCCTTTGTCGTGCTGACTTTGTACCAATTATAAACTCAATTTGTGTCTCAGTATCATCTTTGAAGTAGTCGCATACAAAGCAGTAATTGTGAATATAATTAAATAGTGGCTTGGAGAATACATAAATTGAATAACAATAACAATTCCTTCATCTGTTAAGAGGATGAGAACACAGCATGATATGGGTGGAGCTGGTGGCGTTTGCATAACATTACATGGAGGTATTATGGTAACTAACTGGATCGTTTAATTTATTGCAAGTTTTTACAGGTGCATTATGCAACGTTTTATGTAAAAAAGTTAATACTACTGACCACAGTTGTCTCTAGAAATTTTTTTCTGATGTGCAAAAAGCAAACTACAAAATAGTTCCTAAGAATTCTCCATATTCTTGCGAACAGACTTTCATGTGAAAGCCAGATCCCGTCAGACCTCTGAAACTAAGTAGGTCAAGGCCTGGTTTGTACTGTCATGGGAGACCTCTGGGAACACCAGGTGGGGCGGCTGTGGCTATAAATTGCCAATCTGTCATTGTGTCCTTAGGCAAGACACTTCATCCACATTGACTAGAATGAGTCTGGTGTGTGAGTAAATAGTTGGTGGGGGTTGGAGGGGCCAATGGCACATACTGGTTGCCTCGCTTCTGTCAGTGTGCCCCAGGGCAGCTGTGGCTACTGTAATAGTTTATCACCTTTGTGTATGGATTGAAAGAACATTGACATGTGAATCATCTTTGAGAGTCGTGCAAAGCGCTATAAAAACCGATGAATTATTATTATTATCCTGGAGCAGTGGACTCGTCAAAATTTAACGCATATCGCTCAATCTTACAGCCACTGAGTCATTAAGTTCAAACATGTACAAGATGATAAGGTGTCTTACAGTTGTCCCAGTAGAGACATTTGTCCTACCTGTTAATTATACATCGATTTGATTATTATCCAAATCAATTAGTATCAGATAATGAAAGCCAAAGTATTTGCACTGGTACAGAGTAGAAGAGGTACAGAGTGGATTGGTGCATCTTTGTGTAATCTTGTCCCATCCCAGGGCTCTGTTGAGAATGCATGGCCTTTGCTAAGCAGAACGTTGATTTGGCAACGGTTTGGTTACACATTAAGCCTAAGTAGCTCAGAGTGAGTGTGACTGTGAAAAGTAGTATCTGGGTCTGAGTGTGTAAGCCCTGTGGTAATTGTCAGAAACAATATGTCAGCTTTAATAAATGTGTGATGGCAGAGACTGAAAGCAGGAACTTGGGACTTGTTCTCTTGAAACAAACTGTGATTTTCTCTTCCACGCAGAGTTTGTCTGCCTTGGTTTGTTGACACCTCGGCTCATCAGTGTCTTTCTTCTGTTATTATTGCAGCACTAGGAGGCATCACATTGTCATCACAAAGTAAGAATAACTGAACAATGCTTGCTCAGTAATAATTAAACAACACATATTTGTTTCTGTATATATATGTTCTGGTCACATGCTTTGTTACAGAAAGTATTTTGTCAGAAATTAGGCTTTTTCTTTTTTTATGGACCATTTATAGCAAAATCAAACAAATATAATAGATGAAAAACATAATAAAACATAAGCTTGAAGCTAGCTTTGCCACCAATCTATGAGGGTAATAACATTGCTTTGTTATAACTGTCTGGAATAACAAACAGCTTAAGCAATTGTGACAGGTTGAAATACAGGATTATCATTTCAAACAATTGTAAAAGGCAATGTATTACATGATTTCATAACAATTAGAAACAGATTTAATGATAGATAAAAAGTATATATGTAAAAAATGTATAAGTAAATCTGTTACAAAGTTCATTGTTATTGGTTGGCGGAGACATGTGAAACGCGCCTGCGCATAAGGTCTGGGGTTCTTTTTTTGAAAAATAAACTGCCGAGTGAGAACGCAACTCTTTTCTCCCCTGTTTATTCATTCTCAAAGCAACCACGTACCTCTCCCAAAACCACGGAGCAGAGGGCGCAACATTTTGGAGGCACCGCTGGGATGTTTGGTCAGAGTTTTATCCACCAGCTATGAGTGGAAGCTCCAGCCGAATGTCCGTTAACCGAACCTAGCATCACCGCCACCTAGCATCGGGCAGAGGCAGTGAGTTCAACTCGGCTCTTTCAGCACGTGCAGCAGGTTGTATCTCAAGTGTGCACAACCACCACAAGAGGGCACCGCAAGACCACGAATTAATAAGCCCAAGTTGAACTGTTTTGTCTACTTTCCCTGATCAAAATGGAGTCGGAGCTAGAGCAACTACAATTAGAAATCAATGGCGCTTTATATGGACTGAATGTTGAACAACTGGTAAACATATGCAATGCACTACAAATATCAGGACTCGGAAAGGAGGAGATTTTAGCTAAGAGTCGAAAGCAGCTAATCACTTTCATTACAAGACATGTTGAAAGTAAGTAAGTAAGTTAGTAAGTTTTTATTTATATACCGCCTTTTCACTGCAGATCTGAGTCTCAAAGCGGTTTACAATTGTTAATTTTTGGGCATTTGTCTCTCACTCCACACAGAGATGGGAGCGGGGTCGCCAGTACAGGAGGCGCATGCCAGAACTATTGGACATATTTTTAGTGGTAGGGGAAACCGGAGTACCCGGAGGAAACCTACGCAGACACGGGGAGAACATGCAAACTCCACTCAGAAAGGCCCTGGTCCTACCGGGATTCGAACCCAGGACCTTCTTGCTGAGAGGCGAGAGTGCTATCCACTCAGCCACCACTCACCAATTAGCCGACCTGGAAGACAAAGGAATGTCTGAACTGCTCGTATTAAACGACTTGATTGACTAGAAACTTGCAATGGCTGAAGCCATTGCGATTGACTGCGGAACAGATCTAATGTGGAATTTAGCTGAAAAATCCTTGAAATCCTTGAAACTGTTAAAATACTTTAAACATCTTTGAAACTCCTGAAGTATTTGAAGCTCTTGATATCCTTTAAACTGTTATCCTTTATACTGGTTTACATGTAAAAACCCCTATTAAGTTGCATTATACTGGTTTACATGGAAAAATCCCCATTAAGTTGCATTATACTGGTTTACATGTAAAAAACCCTATTAAGTTGCATTATACTGGTTTACATGGAAAAATCCCTATTAAGTTGCATTATACTGGTTTACATGTAAAAATCCCTATTAAGTTGCATTATACTGGTTTACATGTAAAAACCCCTATTAAGTTCCATTATACTGGTTTACATGTAAAAACCCCTATTAAGTTCCATTATACTGGTTTACATGTAAAAAAACCCTATTAAGTTCCATTATACTGGTTTACATGTAAAAAAAAAAACCTATTAAGTTGCATTATACTGGTTTACATGTAAAAACCCATATTAAGTTGCATTATACTGGTTTACATGGAAAAATCCCCATTAAGTTGCATTATACTGGTTTACATGAAAAAAACCCTATTAAGTGGCATTATACTGGTTTACATGAAAAAAACCCTATTAAGTTGCATTATACTGGTTTACATGGAAAAATCCCTATTAAGTTGCATTATACTGGTTTACATGGAAAAATCCCTATTAAGTTGCATTATACTGGTTTACATGGAAAAATCCCTATTAAGTTGCATTATACTGGTTTACATGGAAAAATCCCTATTAAGTTGCATAATACTGGTTTACATGGAAAAATCCCCATTAAGTTGCATTATACTGGTTTACATGGAAAAATCCCCATTAAGTTGCATTATACTGGTTTACATGGAAAAATCCCTATTAAGTTGCATTGTACTGGTTTACATGGAAAAAACCCTATTAAGTTGCATTATACTGGTTTACATGGAAAAATCCCTATTAAGTTGCATTATACTGGTTTACATGTAAAAACCCCTATTAAGTTGCATTATACTGGTTTACATGTAAAAACCCCTATTAAGTTGCATTATACTGGTTTACATGGAAAAATCCCCATTAAGTTGCATTATACTGGTTTACATGTAAAAAACCCTATTAAGTTGCATTATACTGGTTTACATGGAAAAATCCCTATTAAGTTGCATTATACTGGTTTACATGTAAAAATCCCTATTAAGTTGCATTATACTGGTTTACATGTAAAAACCCCTATTAAGTTCCATTATACTGGTTTACATGTAAAAACCCCTATTAAGTTCCATTATACTGGTTTACATGTAAAAAACCCTATTAAGTTCCATTATACTGGTTTACATGTAAAAAAAAAAACCTATTAAGTTGCATTATACTGGTTTACATGTAAAAACCCATATTAAGTTGCATTATACTGGTTTACATGGAAAAATCCCCATTAAGTTGCATTATACTGGTTTACATGAAAAAAACCCTATTAAGTGGCATTATACTGGTTTACATGAAAAAAACCCTATTAAGTTGCATTATACTGGTTTACATGGAAAAATCCCTATTAAGTTGCATTATACTGGTTTACATGGAAAAATCCCTATTAAGTTGCATTATACTGGTTTACATGGAAAAATCCCTATTAAGTTGCATTATACTGGTTTACATGGAAAAATCCCTATTAAGTTGCATAATACTGGTTTACATGGAAAAATCCCCATTAAGTTGCATTATACTGGTTTACATGGAAAAATCCCCATTAAGTTGCATTATACTGGTTTACATGGAAAAATCCCTATTAAGTTGCATTGTACTGGTTTACATGGAAAAAACCCTATTAAGTTGCATTATACTGGTTTACATGGAAAAAACCCTATTAAGTTGCATTATACTGGTTTACATGTAAAAACCCCTATTAAGTTGCATTATACTGGTTTACATGGAAAAATCCCCATTAAGTTGCATTATACTGGTTTACATGAAAAAAAACCCTATTAAGTTGCATTATGCATTATACCCTGGTTTACATGAAAAAACCCTATTAAGTTGCATTATACTGGTTTACATGGAAAAATCCCTATTAGTCCTTGTTGTCCTTGAAACTGCTGAAGTCCTTGAAACTGCTGAAGTCCTTGAAACTGTTGAAGTCCTTGAAACTCTTGAAATCTTGAAACTGCTGAAATCCTTGAAACTGTTGAATCCTTGAAACTGTTGAATCATTGAAACTGTAGAAATGTCTGAAAGAGCTGAAGTCCTATTAAAATGCATGGGCCTATTAAAATGCATTGCAGAATTCTCAATGCAGATTTTTGTCCGATTGCGGAAAAACCGGAAATCGCTGAAGTCCCAAAAGTAATAGCAATAATCTCCCAAACATGTGGAACGTTTTGATGTATAACTTGTGGAAATTGTTGAAAATGTGAAAGCTGTGAAACGTGTCAAAAAAAATGACGGAATAAAGAAATACAAAACCAATGGTTGACTGCGGAAGGTTCCGCAGTCAATCAAAAATGCAAAAATCCCAGAGTTGGATGCATGTGGGGATAATGGGGGAGAAGATCTACAGAAGGAGATAAGTGATCTTCGTGCTATCATACAAGAAAAAGAGTATGCATTACAGAAAATAACACAACAACTGAGCTTAAAATCACCACCAATGCAAGAACGAGTCTCCGCGCCCTCAGACAACCACATGTGGCGTAAAGACTTTAAAATAGCAGGTTTAATTGGTGAACCTGGACAAAAGGACAAGCTCACATTTTCTAGTTTGGCCAGACAGATAGAATGTGGGCTCAGTAAAGACTATCGAGAAGATGAGATAACTGATGCTGTGATCCGTGCCATCACTCCAGGAGCTACCTTGAAGGTAAAAGTGACCTCACACTTCCAGCCCTGCGCAGGATTCTTAGATCTCATTAATCAGGAGAGAGGAGCCACAGAACTGTACAAGCAGCTCTCCTCTGAGGTTCAGAACTGTAAGGAGACACCACAGAACTTCTTGTTGAGAGCCATGGACCTTCGGCAGAAGATTCTTTTTGCGTCCCAAGAAGCAGAGTCTGGTCTGAAGTATGACCCTGCCTTGGTTCAGAGTTTATTCATGCACACCATATTGACCGGGTTACTGAGTGACAATATCAAGAGTGACATGCAACCTTACCTTCTCCAAGAAGCCACAACTGATGAAGTGTTACTGGAAAAAATTAATGTAGCATGTGCAAATGAAAAGGAGCGACAAGACAAAAAGAAACAGACCGTTCCCCAGCGAGCTGCTACTACCGTTAATGTAGTCCAGTCCAGTGATCTCTCAGCCCCTGCAGAGAAGAAGATACAAAAACACACCACGGCTACTATGCCTCCAGAGCTCCTGTCAGAGATTAAGGAGATGCGCTCTGAGATGGGGTTTCTGAAGGACTTGAGGGCTGAGGTTTCCCAGATCAGAGAGACTATGCAGAGATCTACAACTACAGTACCCGTCAGCAGAGGAGCTGAGGACCACTACCAAGCACCGACCTTCACACCGCACCCCATGTACCAGGAGCCACGCCCGCTGCAACAGGAGCCACGCCCAACATATCAGCTGGAGCCACCTACCAGGGCCTTCTACCCTCAACACTCTCAAGCAGCTCTGCAACAGTACCACTCACCACCAAGCCCTGCACCACCGAGAGGAACCACCCAGTTTCAGCAGCGCTTTGCCCCACAACGGTATCATGTGCCCCGTCCACAGCCCAGGTGTTATGCTTGTATTCAGACGGGGGAAGAGTACTGTCAGCACTGTTTCAGATGTGGAAGTAGTGAGCATTTCAGAGCAGGCTGCAGAGTCCAGGGGTTGGCGAGACAAGCTAGGGGTAATCCTTTAAACTAGGAAGGGTCACTCCAATGGGACATGGTGTGGCCATAGAGACAAAAAGTTCCCAGTGTTACAGTTGTGAAGTAAAAAGTGACAGTAAGGCTTTAAAATCCTGCTCAGTATGTAAGAAGGTATTTTACTGCTCAAAAGAATGTCAAGGAGAGAATTGGCCCGCTCACAAAACCGAATGTAAGCCCTACACATGTGGTAGTATTCATCAGGGAGGTAGGTCATCAGCTGAGGGAAAACATTACAAAAATCAATGTGGAAAAAAACAAATACCCTCAGTCAAAGAGTTAGTGGGGAGAAAGTGTCTCATTAGGTGTTTCTTAGGCAACAAAAAGGTCGAAGCTCTCTGGGACTCTGGCTCACAGGTTTGTGCTATAGATGAGGGTTGGAAAAATAATAACTTATCTGAGGTACAAATGAAAAATGTAAATGAGCTTATTGATCCAAATTTACCTCTGCATCTTGAAGCAGCTAATGGCACAGACATGCCGTATGTAGGATGGCTTGAGGTCCCATTCAAGCTTACTGCCAAGGAGTCAGAGTTACTCATACCAGTATTAGTCCTTAAAGGTGACCAGCAGCGATGTCCAATCATCGGGTTTAATGTTATCGAGCACCTGGTTTTAAACAGTTTGAAAGATGGGGCTGGCACCGGGGAGAAAGACAGACTTTTGACAGCAGTAAGATTTGCTTTTCCACAGCTAAGGAAAAATAAAGCTACTACTTTCATAAAAGCTGTAAGTGTAGGACAAACACACGAGTACAATGTAAGAACAACAAATGAGAGAGTGACTGTACCCAGCCATAGTTCACTATCAATAGAATGTAGAGTGCAGGCTAAGTCATTCAAAGAGGACACAAGGCTGATTTTTGAACCTTGTGAGAACCCACAGTGGCCCGATGGACTTGAGTTTTGTGACACTTTAGTTTCGGTAAAAACAGGGTCCACTCCAAAGATAGTTCTTAGTGTACAGAACCCAACCAACCACGACATTACATTATCAGGGAGGACCAATATTGGTTGTGTGCAGTCAGTGGGGTCTGTCTATCCAGCTAACATCTTCATGAAAGACCTTTCATCTGTCGGCATCAACGAGATCCACGTCCAGGACGCCGCTAGCGAGCAGTGGGACCCTCCTGTTGACCTGTCTCATCTTGATGAAGGTAACAGAAAGACTGTTCAGAAAATGTTAAGAGAAGAGTCTGCATCGTTTTCAAAAACAGATGAGGACATTGGGTGTGTGGCAAACCTGCAGATGGACATTTTGTTGAAAGACACAGATCCTGTCTCTAAAACATATCTATCCGTACCAAAGCCACTGTACAAGGAGATGAAGGACTACTTACAGGACTTGATAACACAGGGATGGGTGGAAAAGTCTACTTCCTCTTACTCGTCTCCTGTAGTCTGTGTAAGAAAAAAAGACGGTTCACTGCGCTTGTGCATTGATTACAGAGAACTGAACCGTAAGACGCATCCAGACAGACACCCGATCCCCCGAGTCCAAGACGTGATGGACAGCCTGGGAGGGAACACAATCTTCTCACTACTGGACCAGGGTAAGGCGTATCACCAGGGGTTCATGTCCAAAGAAAGCAGACCTCTAACTGCATTTGTGACCCCCGGGGGCCTTTATGAATGGATTAGAATCCCGTTTGGCCTTATGAATGCACCGGCTGCATTTCAGAGATGCATGGAGCAGTGTCTGGAAGGACTGAGAGACGAGATATGTGTTCCTTATCTCGATGACATTCTTGTGTTCAGCAGGACCTTCGATGACCATGTTGAGGATGTCAGAAGAGTGTTGCGGCGCCTCAGAGACAATGGAATCAAACTCAAACCCCGAAAATGTGACATTTTCAAATCAGAAGTGAGGTATCTTGGCAGGATTGTTTCTGTTGAAGGGAGTAAAATGGATCCAGCAGATACAGCTGCTGTGAGAGCTCTAAAAAACAAGCAGCCAGGTACTGTAGGTGAGCTTAGAGCAATACTAGGACTTCTGAGCTACTACAGACAATACATTAAGGGTTTCTCTTGTGTTGCTGGGCCTTTGTATGATCTGCTGAAAGCACCTTTGAAAACAGAAACTGAACAGAAAATAAGGAAGAAGATGACAATGAGAAAGACTAACAGTGTCCCATCCAGTACACCTATTCAGTGGACTGACGTGCACCAGTCTGTGTTAGAGCAGTTAATAGACTGTTTGGTGCAGCCTCCTGTCTTAGGTTTTCCTGATTTTACACAACCATTTATTTTACATACAGATGCTTCTAACCAGGGATTGGGCGCTGTATTGTACCAAAAACAAAATGGCAAACTCCGGGTAATAGCTTATGGGTCGAGGACACTTACTGCAGCTGAGAAAAACTATAATTTACACTCAGGGAAGCTAGAATTCTTAGCTCTAAAATGGGCGATCACAGATAAGTTCCGTGATTACTTGTACTACGCCCCATCCTTTACCGTGTACAGCGATAATAATCCGCTCACTTATATACTGTCTACTGCCAAGTTAAATGCAACAGGATGCAGATGGGTTGCAGAACTAGCCGATTTTAATTTTATTGTTAAATATCGTCCAGGTAGAGAGAACATAGATGCAGACAGCCTATCTAGGATGCCATTAGACATAGAAACTTACATGGGAAAATGCTCAAATGAACTGTCATATGATGCTGTGTGTGCAGCAACACAGGCCGTTGACTATCAGGGTGAGTCCAGTGCAGCCTGGTCGATGGGTATTTCATCTAAGTGTGCCACTGTGTCTGTCAGCATGCCCATAGCTCCACTTACTGTTGGACAGATTAAACTAGACCAACAGACTGATCCCATCGTCGGACAGATTATTCAGTTCAAACTAGCAGAAGCAAAACCTTCAGGTTCAGAACTCAAAAAGCTTAGCCCATCAGTCGTGTGTTTCCTCAGGGAGTGGGACAAGTTGCAGTTCAGTGAGAAAGGTGTTTTGTACAGAAAAACTACAAACAGGTCACAACTTGTGCTCCCTGAAAAACACAAGTCAGTGGTGTTAAAAGAACTACATGATGATATGGGCCACCATGGTGTGGAAAGGACTATTTCTTTGGTACGGGACCGTTTTTACTGGCCTTTTATGCAGAAAGAAATAGAGGACTATGTGATGAGGAAATGTGTCTGCCTTAAAACCAAACGGCCAAGCCGTGAAACAAGGGCGCCGCTTACTAATATAGTTACCACCCAGCCTTTTGAACTGGTGTCTGTGGACTTTTTACACTTAGACAAATGTAAGGGTGGATATGAATACATTCTTGTCATAGTTGATCACTTTACCCGTTTTGCCCAGGCGTATGCTACTACATCCAAGTCTGGTAAAACTGCAGCGGACAAAATATTTAATGATTATGCTTTAAGGTTTGGGTTCCCGCTGAGACTTCACCATGATCAAGGAGGTGAATTTGAGAACCAACTTTTTGCCCAACTAAAGGAGTATTGTGGGGTTGATGCCCCGCCACAGCAGGAGGGGACTGCGGAGTCGGTACTTCATGAGGAAGATCAGCCTGCAGGTGTACTCCCAGAGACAGAACCTGAAGAAGACCGTCCACCAGATGATGTCTGCCAGGAAGAAGTGTTGCCTGGGGAGGAGCCTGACCCGCCACCTTCTCCAGACGAAGGCCGGCGGCCGAGACGTGACCACAGAAAACCAAGGGTATTTGCTGTCCAACGATTAAAATATTTAATCACGATTAATCGCATGAATTTCATAGTTAACTCGCGATTAATCGCAAATTAGTCACACATTTGCGTGCTGTGTGCAATTGCTTTTTTTATTGAAAACAATGTGTAGTGTTATATTACACACTAACATTTGATGCAAAATCATCAATAAATGGATGACAAAATAAATAATTGGTAACAAAAAGCCCCTTCAATGTGTGTGTGTGGGTGTGTGTGTGTATGTGTGGGTATAGACCATAGACTGTATAGAAACATCATGGTGTCATTATGATGATGATAAATATTTTGTAAATTTGTTCATGTAAATACTCTATGCTGTTTCTCTGTTTACCTTCGGTATATCTATGACTGTATACTGTTTGCTTGTATTGCCTTTTTTATTAACCCCTCCCCCCATCTCCCACTTCATGTCCAACCCCCCCCCCCCCCCCCCCCCCCCTCCTATGTGCCCTTCTGGGTTTCTTCTTTGGCCCCCTGTATCTCCAACTACATATTGTTTGTAATCTCTGTCTACAATGTATCTGAACTAGTCCTTTTCTTTGTTTCTATTTTTTTTTCTGTATATGTGTTTGTCTGCAATAAAAAGAAAAAAAAAAACAAAACAAAAAAAATTATAATAATATTGATTTGCGTTAACGCGTTAATAACGCGCTATTTTGGACAGCCCTAGTATTTACCTATGACAGACTCGGTACACCAACTTGTCACAATATTATGACATTTCCCTATAATGGTGAGCAGAACATGCCATGGTTGTATGATGTACATCCTTATTATTTTCAAGAGTTTTACAGACATGGTTGATACTTTTGTTTGCTTGAAGAGTCGGGTGCATATTTGCATAAATACACTGAACTATTGATGTTGGGATCACTTCTCATTTTACGTTGAAACTGATTTCAGTTGTTTACATGCATCAGATTGAAACAAATGGAAATATATTGTGTTGGTATTTTTTGTTGTTGCGTGTTTAAGTGAAGTGGACACTTCTGGGAATGTTGAGTTTTGACTCAAAGCATGTATGAAAAGAGTTCCAGTCTGTAAAAAGAAAAAAATGGAAGTGTTTGTTTTTGTTTGTGTGGATGTAATTACTTGGTAATCTACAGATGCTGATGTTGGGGACAACATCTACTTTGAGGGGGAGTATGTGACAGGTTGAAATACAGGATTATCATTTCAAACAATTGTAAAAGGCAATGTATTACATGATTTCATAACAATTAGAAACAGATTTAATGAGAGATAAAAAGTATATATGTAAAAAATGTATAAGTAAATCTGTTACAAAGTTCATTGTTATTGGTTGGCGGAGACATGTGAAACGCGCCTGCGCATAAGGTCTGGGGTTCTTTTTTTGAAAAATAAACTGCCGAGTGAGAACGCAACTCTTTTCTCCCCTGTTTATTCATTCTCAAAGCAACCACGTACCTCTCCCAAAACCACGGAGCAGAGGGCGCAACACAATAAGGCTGTTCAATGCTGGTTAAAAGTGAGCGCTTAAACCTAAAGTTGTAACTTCCTCTGAATTGTAAGAGCATTGTGCATTCTTTAATAAAAATCAAATGTAATTGACCAACATCTAATGTGAAGAATAATATCTGGTTTCCCACTTGGTTCACACATGGTGGCATTAGTCAATAAAGCGAAGGAGAGTGAACAGAACATAATTTTAAGTCTACATCGAACCTTTAAAGAACAGCTTCTGACAGTTTACGTTTATGTTTTGACCTTGTCCTTCACAACCTCTTTTCATGTGACTAAAATTGAAGCATCTAAAGGCCGTTTGACTCATTCATAACCTTCCTTTTCTATTCTGAAACTCATCTTCAGTCTGAATAACAAGTTGATCGGGACTCAAAGAAGAAGATTGCTGCTGTCCATAATCGAATGGAGAAACATGTGGGGTACGTATGAATATGTTCAATTTCATTACCCCTTTGAAATAGAAAATCTTTAACCACAATATCTTTTCATACCGAGTAGAAAAGTTATTCTAGGTCTTTCACACTGTCACACACAACTCATCAAAATGGAACTGACATGGAACAAAACCAAAGCAGGGCAAATAAAGGTAAGGAATGCCAAGGAGATTGCCTACTATGTTCTATTTGCCTTTTGGATCTTTGCTTCTTTGGTTTACACATCTCTGTGTGGTTACTCTTTGGCACTGTGGTATCTTAGTATTCAGAATATGATTCATAGACAAACCCTTTTGCCCGATGATGTCATTAGGCCAAGCTGCCTTGACATTTGCAGATGCGTTAAACAAACAAGGGCCTATATCTTACTTTCAGTTGTGTGTATTTCAGAAGCTCAGGCTGTGTGCCTATAGGGTGTAACAGAGCATGATAAAGGTCAGATAGAGTCATTCTTCATGTGTGTATATATACACACTATCTCTAATAATAATATGGCTCAAAAGTCCCATCCGTCTTCAGGGGACCACTGTCAATGAGGAAGTGTTGGCACTCTGCATCTGGAGCATTTCTCCACTTACACCCCCAGGGGGTTTGTTTAGCGCGCTTCATTTATCAGCTACTACACATGGAACAAGAGACAAGTGTCCTTGATTTAATGGTTTAATAGGGATTCAAGAAGCATCATATAAGAGACACTAAACAGATAATATGGCAGATGACAAATGGAGTCACTACACACTGTCTCGTCATTTATCATAGCAGAAGTTTGTCCACAGATAAGATGATTGGTGAACATGAAGACCGACAAGGCACAAAGGCCTGTGTGACCAACCAATGGGTGCTGCATAAACTCGACTGTTTAAAACCATAATGTATACATTTACACAAGAAAGACCATCTTAAACTTTGGTTGGCTTCTTTATAGTCCCAGCGAATGATGACTAAATTTTTTATAAAAATAGCTCCCTTGCCAATTTGCAGAGTTTTCTGACTGCCGACTTGATGATAAACATATATGTTAAATTTGGACAACAGAGCTGTTAGCACTTTGAACAGAGCATTTTGATAGGTGAATCTAGCACAGTGCTTTTAGTATGTGCTGTTTTTAAATCTTTTTTCATAGGGTCAAATGTTTTTTTTTTTTACGTGTGTTTCTGTCTTTAGTGTTTTGATGTCAATTGTACACGCTGGGTGTTTTTAAACATATAGTCTACTTTATCTTTTCAACCCCAGGGACTTTAGGAACCCTCATCTATGTTTGTAGTTGAGGGTTCCAAACCTAAAATGTTCCTGCCATAAGTGAAGTAAGCCCACTCATCCATGATTTTTCTATCATGTATGTGTGCAGTTGGTTGCTTGTAGAAAATATTAGCTTTGATTGTTAAATATCCACCCATCTCAAATACCCACACTCGTACTGACACTCTCTATGAATTCCAGGTTACATATGTTGTGTTGATTGGCAGCACCAGCACCTTCTTTCCTGCAGTTTGGACACATTGTTGAGATTGATGTGTGAAGCAGAGCAGAGATGGACAGTCACTCACAATATGTCAACTTTCACAGAAGCAAGACGTACTGTCACAGAAAACATGTTATATTCAATTTGATTAAATAGATATGCTCATGGCGCCCAAGACAAGATATGCATCAGATCTAAACCATCCCACTGATGGAAAAAATAAATTAAATGATTTGCCAAATGTGTCATATGTTGAGTTATAAGTTGGCAGAGCTCCACCACATGTCACCTATAGGCAGTAAAGTATGAGACGGCGAGGAGAGGTGAAAGGCTCAAAGTAACTGACTTTCAGAAATGAATCCATCCATCACTGAGTGCCTAAAGTCATTCATTTAGGAGGAGGAGGTTGGTCACTGCACCAAACTCAATCTGGGTCAAGATGCTGTTGGCTTTTCAGAAGTGGGAAAGACCTTAACTTAAAACTACAACAGGAAAAAAAGCATAGTTTAGCCTTTCCATTTAATGCGGCAGTGGCGAGAGCATGCAGCCACAAAAGTAATATAAGAAAGATGAAGAGGTTCTGAAGTTTGAATAGAGGAGCTCTGAAAGGTCGTAGTTTGCTTTTATGTTTCCATCAATCCTTTCCAGTGCAGATCAAGCTCAACTCCAACGCTGTACCGGTAGTGAATGATCCATGTGAGGTGCAAAAAAGGGCTTCTTTTAAACAAATACATTGTGAACATTGAATTGAACATATTAATTTCAAACCTACACACATGTGCTGATAATTATTCAGAGAGAAAAAAATCACACAGGGAGCACACACAATATATACAAATAATTAGTAGCTATGTTTCTTAACTAACATAACTAGCTGTAGATGCTGAAAATGCTTCGATACCAGTCATAATATATATATGTAGTAGTGCAGAGTTATATACTGTACAGTTAAATAGTGCAGGATAAAAAGTATATAAGTAAAGTGACATGAGGTAAAGTGACATGAGGTAAAGTGACATTGTTCTGTGACATTCTGAAGTTGCAGTATTGCACATTGCACATGATTTAAGAATTTACTTAATTACAGATGTACAGTCTGACAGCAGCAGGAAGGAAAGACCTACGGAACCTCTCCTTGACACACAGCGAGGGTGAATTAGTCTGTCACTGAAGCTGCTCTCCAGAGCAGAGAGAGTGTCCTGCAGGGGGTGACAGTCATGGTCCAGCATAGATGTTAGTTTGCTCAGGACCCTCCTGTCCCCCACCTGCTGCTCTGTGTCCAAGGAACAGCCCAGGACTGAGCTGGACTTCCGGATGACCTTGTCCAGCTTCTTCCTGTCCCTCTCTGTGATACTGCTGTTCCAGCAGACCACACCGTACAAGATGGCTGATGCCACCACAGAGTCATAGAAGGTCTTCAGGAGTGGCCCCTGCACTCCAAAAGACCTAAGCCTCCTCAGTAGGTAGAGGCGACTCTCGCCCTTCTTGAAGAGGGCGTCTGTGTTATGAGTCCAGTCCAGTTTGTGGTTCAGATGAACACCCAGGTACTTGTAAGAGTCCACTCTCTCGATGTCCTTTCCCTGGATGTTCACTGGAGCTGGAGCGGCAGAGTGACGTCTGCGGAAATCCACCACCATCTCCTTCGTCTTCCCCGCGTTGATGAGGAGGTGGTTCCGCTGACACCAGTCCACAAAGTCCTGTATAACTCCTCTGTACTCTGCGTCATCATCCTCGGAGCTGAGTCCGATGATGGCAGAGTCGTCAGAGAACTTCTGTAGAACACAACCGTGTTGTGTCTGAAGTCCGCAGTGTAGAGGGTGAAGAGGAACGGCCCGAGGACAGTTCCCTGGGGGGCCCCCACACTGCAGGTCAGGACCTCAGACACAAAGTCCCTGGTTCTCACAAACTGGGGTCTGTCTGTGAGGTAGTCCAGGATCCACTGGGACAGGTCGTAGTCCACACCGGCTGTCTCCATCTTGTCCCTGAGAAGCCTCGGCTGGATGGTGTTGAAGGCACTGGAGAAATCAAAGAAGAGGATCCTCACAGTTTCTCCAGGTGGGACAGGGAGCGATGGAAGAGGGAAATGATGTCGTCCTCGACTCCGATGCCCTGCCTATAGGCGAACTGCAGCGGGTCCATCGCTGGGCTCAGAGTGGAGCGGAGATGTCCCAGGACCAGTCTCTCCAGTGTCTTCATGCAGTGGGATGTTAGAGCCACTGGCCTGAAGTCGCTGAGGTCTTTGTCCCGTGTTTTCTTGGGCACCGGTACCACACAGGTATTCACAAAATTCACAAAACCATTTCTGACCCTACACCTCTCTCCCCACTCTGTGACGACGGCTTCACTCTCTTTGCTCCATGCAATTTTTCAGTACTTATTTCTCAACAAATTTTAAAATTGAATACATTTTAAACATGCTTTCAATTCTCCCGATAGATTGTTCCAAATGTTGACGCCATACACGTTAGCTTAATGTTGGCTGATGTCTAAATGTTAGCTGATATAATTTTGTATTTCCTCTTATATTCTATTTGTGATGCGCATCTCTGTCATGGAACAGGTTTTATACACTAGAGTTTTGAGCCATCAGCAGTTTTTTAAGTTAAACAAGTCTATTGTGTTGTTTATTGTAGCCTGTCTTCCCATCTCTGAAGGTATTACTGTCACTGTGAAGAATTTGCAACCCTCCAATTCCATCTAATGATGAACCTTGCGTCTGAATAGTAAAAAAGGCATAACATTTAAATAATTGTGAACGTTTTTGACTATATAAACACGGCAGTTTATGAAGACTGAATTCTTAATGGTAATAAGGTCCTTTGTATGAAAACCATCAGACACTCTATAGACCACTCACAAGTGTTTGCCTTCAGCTTATTGGAGCTGTTTTTCTGTGCACCAAGAGACCCAACATTTCAATCCATCCATATTCATTGTAACGCGGCATGTGCCTAGCAGGAGGCATCACTGTGGGCTGGGGCCATCTTTTATCTGCCAAACAAAAACTAGGATCAATGCTCCAGCAGCTCAGCAGTGGCCTGGCCTGTTTATCATTTTGATGGAGATTATGTTTACGATACTATGTCTACTCTGTTATGCATCGTTCCAGCCATAATTTAGTTTGCACAGAAAGCTGGTCTTAAGAGAGGCCCAACATATATAGTGACAAGAATATTATATATACAGATTGTATTGGATTAATAATATTAGTGTGGTTTGAAAGTTAGGTACCTCTCCTTTAAAGGCACCATAATAAAGAAGACACAATTATTTCACAAAGTCTCATTTCTTCCATGTTTGCGTACTGCATCCCTCAGCTCGGCAAACCTATTTAATTGTGGTTTTTGTGAAGTGAATCTTAAGATGACCACAATAACCCCGAACACAATATGACTGACAATTTGAAAAAAAGTCAAATGCCCAGCTGTGGATACAGTACCAGACCGCATTGATGTGTACTCACAAACATGACTCTTTTGGGGATGTGGTCCGACTCCACCAGAGGGTTCCTGTAAAGCCACAGCTCCTCCGGCTGGATCACTCTCTCAAAAGGCTCCAGGAACTCAGTGAACCTGTCAACACAACACAGGCACAATAGTTAGTGATAATCCGCCTTTCTAGGGGTTTTCTTTTTAGTGAAAGGTCATTCTCACACACTACTTACGCTAGGGGCTTTTGTCTCCATAATGTCAATTTCAGCACCAATTATCTTCAAATTAGTGCTTTTTTAATGTCAGCTTTTGAACATTAATTGTCAAATGAATAGCCATTTTCATTGCATAGGTAACTTTCATCTTCTTTTTGATAATGTTTGATAATTTCAAACGAGCAGTGGAATCTATGGAAGATTCATTTTATTCGACAAACATATCAGAATTTATGATCCACAGATTTTTTTTTTATTGTCATCCTCAAATGTCCACACTGTGAAAGTCCTCAAATAGTGAATAAGGTGAAACATGTATCTGATGATTTAATCCTGATCACTTCTTGTTTGGAAATGTGACAACTTTTCCTAAATAATTTATATTGAAGACTTTTGCATTTTATTGACGATTCATGATACATGTATTTAAAGCAATCCCCTCACGGAATGAGTATCACCAGTAAGATTGGAGGAGAATAGTTAAACCAATGGTGAGGGGCTTCGGCTGTCTATCATGGATTTGAATTCATTGCGACCAATCAGGAAGCTGTGGGGGCGGGTCAAACTGGTGCTTTTAACGGAAAAACGTCTCTGTATCTCCACAAATTGAAAAGTAACTGACCTTCTCTCACTGTATGAACATAAGAACAATGATCAATCCAAACTACTGGTATAATTTAGATTTGTCGGCATAGAGAGATTATTTATGGAAGACACTGTGTAAATAGGTGTCAATATTTTAGGACTTTATGACCTTTACTAAAACTACCCTGATGTTTCCTCCTCTAATGGCATAAAAATACTAAAACAATACATTTACTTTCCGTGCTTCACTCACTTCCTGTGTTTATCTGCAGTAATCTATCAGCACGACCTTGCTCGCTGTCGTATCAACACAGTGTCTTTTTTTTCTTTCTCATCCAGCTCAAACAATTCAACATCACGTCCCCAAACCTCAGGGAGCAATGAAGGAAATCTCTGGACAGGCACAGAACAAACATACAGGTCAATAAAAGTGATGAATACGTTTCCGAAAAGTGAAAAAAAAAACTGTAGGCGAAACTACAAATATCAACCCTTTACTCCCAAGAAGTGAGTTTGTGTAAAAGTATTAGTTACAGTTTTTGAAATATAAGCCAGAACATTACATTATATATTAGAATATTGTATTTTTAATGTATGTTTTATACTGTTTTTATGCTGCCTGTAAGGTGACCTTGGGAATTTTGAAAGGTGCCCACAAATAAAAAGTATTATTATTTTTTATTATTATTAATTTCTAAATAAAGTTTTGAATTTTCTGTGTATGATTTTCCTGTAAATTCCTCAAAGAAACGTAATTTAAGAGATATACAAAAATAAACTGATTTGAATTGAAATGCATATTTGTGGCGCCACCTGTATGTGAAAGCCTGATCCTGTCAGAAGGTAAGCAGGGCATGGGCTGGTAAGTACTGTGATGGGAGACCTCTGGGAACACCAGGAGCATAATGGGGCGGCTGCGGCTGTAAATTGGCAAACTGTCCTTAAGGCACTTCATCCATATCGCCTTGAATGAGTCTACTGTGTGTGTGAATGATTGGCGGTGATCAGTCAGGCAGATGGCACATACTGGTTGCTTCACTTCTGCCAGTCTGTCCAAGGGCAGCTGTGGCTTCAGTTGTAGTTTATCACCACTATGTATGGAGTGAATGAATAATGCCAAGTGAATCCATTTTGAGTGTCCAAAAAAAGCGTTAAATAAAACTGAAGCACTATTGGTTAAAATGGGTAAAAACAGATGACTCAGACCCATCATTTAGAGCCCTGTGTGAAGGGGCTTTGCGCCTCAGGATTTGCTCCACACTGCATAGATTATTGCGTTCATAAATGTTCCTTGTGACATCATACAAACCAGATTTTGAGGACATTACTACTAATTAGAGCCATCCATTAAAGTCTTGAAATGTGCAGCTCCGGGGGAAACAGCGGTGATTGACAGACGGAATTAAGTAGTGATGATAATGACGATTGACGTGACATTAAAGCTGTGGTACATAACTTTCAAACTGCAAAAAAACAAAAAATGAGTTCTCAAAACAGTCACTTAGAGAATTTGGTTCTGACTATAGCAGGCTTATTTGGCGCAAGGATATACGCTTGCGCCAAACACTACAAAAATCAATCAATCAATCAACTTTATTTGTATGGCGCCTTTCCAACACAAGGCCACTCAAAGCGCCTCACAACCCACATAATATCACACAAATCAGAGACATCAATAAATACATTAAAAACAGAATAAAATCACAAGTAATAAAAAAAAAAAAAAAAAAAAAAAAAATATTAAAAGCACACACGGGATTAAAATAATAAATAACCACAATGCATTAAAAAAAAAAAAAAAAAAGAGTATGTATCAATAAAATCCTTCAGCCGTATGCACAGCTAAAAAGAACAGTTTTTAGCCCTGATTTAAAAATTGCCAGAGTAGATGCTAGCCTCACATCTTCAGGAAGATTGTTCCAGATTTTAGCTCCATAAATCTCAAACGCTGCCTCCCCATGTTTAGTTCTGACTCTTGGAACCAGTAAGAGGCTACCTCCTGTGCTCCTCAGAGTCCGGGCCGGTTCATATGGGACTAACAAGTCGCTTAAGTACCCTGGAAAAATGATTACATGATGATGCTCCCATCTCTGTGTGGAGTGAGAGGATAAATTCCCCAAAAAATAACAATTGTAAACCGCTTTGTGACTCTGGTCTGTGAAAGGCAGTATATAAATAAAGATTACTTACTTACTTATGTACATGATGTGTGCTTATGATTTTATTCATCACATAGAGAGGACATTTCTATGTGGCTGTGCACGGTTCAAGAACAGTAGAAATATCTGTGAAATGAATGGATGCCTTAAACGGACTGAAGCAACCTCTATCAAACACTGAAAAAAACAAAAAAACAGTCAGCCATGACAGATAAAGTCTCTTGCCAAAATGGTAAACAGCTAATTTTGAACTATTTCAATACACAAGGATGATCCAGAACATTTAAGGACATTTATGGACATTGGTCATCTACCCTTTATGGACCAATGTCTCCCATTTATTTAATAATAATAATAATGCATCGGTTTCATATAGCGCTTTTTTGGACACTCAAAGACGCTTCACATGTGTCATTATTCATTCACTCCATACACGGTGGTGATAAACTACTGCTGTAGCCACAGCTGCCCTGGGGCACACTGACAGAAGCGAGGCAACCAGTATGTGCCATCGGCCCCTCCGACCACCACCAACCATTCACACACACACCAGACTCATTCTAGGCAATGGGGGTGAAGTGTCTTGCCTAAGGACACAACGGCAGTTTGGCACTTTACAGCCGCAGCCGCCTCACTGTGGCTGGTGTTCCCAGAGGTTAAGTGTCTTGCCAAGGACACAACGACAGTAGTCAGTGGGAGTCGATGGTGAAAGTCTTGAGCGGGGCTTGAACCCATGACCTTCTGGCTCAAAGGCCAATGCTCTACCAACTGAGCTACTGCCGCCTCAAATTTGATATCATTGCATTTCCTGGGTTTGAGCCGTTTGACTCTCTGACCTGGGTTGGAGAATCCATAATGATAGTGATGACAAGTGTTTTTATTTAGGGCTATACAAAAATACATTGAATTGAATCCATAAATAGTATCTTGTCGTTTGGATTTGGAATATAAGTAGTAATAAAAAGTAGATTGAAGTAAAGTTCTAGTCAATGAGGCGAACTTGAGTGACGATAATTGAGTCGGTCAGTCCTGGGAACAGATCTGCATGGTATCGATCACTTAATGGAAGATGTCAAGTTGAATAAATGGAGGCTATAGCTCTGTGGGAAAATCCGTCACAAAACTCTCAGAGGACAATGGTCGGTCCTTCCACCAGTTAAGTGAAATAACGTCGAAAATATAAGGTACATAAAAGAGCTAATGCAAACTTTACTGATCCAAGTATAAAGGTGCAGTTTATTAATCCCTGTAGGGCAATTCATCCTCTGCATTTGACCCATCCTGATGCTAAAAAGGCTTACGTCATATTTAGCTCATCGATTACATAATTAAGAGACACTTTCTGTAACAAAAGACTCATAGAAGAAGTAGCATTATACACTAAGAAAAAAAAAATCTGTCGAAATTTTGCCTTTATACGTATGCAGTATTTGGATTTAAACAAGTACAAAATAATCAAGCTTAGATTTTAATGGCAGGTGTAAAATGGAGAATAATAACTTTGACATAGGGTCATCTGTGATTTATTGTTGAATGGAGTGGTATTTTAGTGAGGTGCTAAAGCTTAAACAATTTGGATTAATTTTGAATGAGAACTATGAAGAAATGGGAGGAAGTTATGTAGGGGGTAAAGGCCAGAGCAAAATGTGAACATTATAGAGTTGGGGTTCTCAAAGTGTGGGGCGGGACCACCTGGGGACCGCGAAACACACAGCTAGAGGGAGGAGACAGGATTTCAATGTAACACTATGAAAGTAAGTTTTTGTTTTGTTTTTAGTTTTTTTTAACACCACTACAATGGATTTAACATATACAGTATTTCATATCACTACTTTTGATTTCATGCAGTGGTGGGAGAGTGGATTTCACTAATATTTTGGAAGGTGACTGACTGATAGCTATGAGAACCCATGCCCTAAAGAGTTCATATTCAGCCCTCTCAAGCCCCCAGCATTTCAAATAAAACTGGCTGAGACGAGACAGGTCTTTAACTTGAATCGACTTTAACATTCCCTGCACCTATAGATATTGAACCCTTGCGTAAACCTGCCGATGGAGAAGTTTGCGTAGAGTAGAGGATCAATGTTGAGCCAGCCCAGTCCAGCGAATGTAGTTTGTATGAGTGATTTATGCTCTGCTTAGCTGCTTTTGCCTCAGGCCTCACATCCATCAGGCGCCTTCCTCTCTGGCCCAAGGCTCTCAATCCGAGCAACACATCTCAATCTGAGCTCTGCACAACAATTCTGGAATACAACTCTGATGTACAGAATATTATCTTCTGTTTTTTTTTTCTTTTGAATAATAGAAACTTGCGATGGCTCACGGTGTCAGGCAGCACGGCAGTGAATGATAAACGTACCCACGCAAAAACAAATCAGAACTAAACTTACGCTTTGTTGCCGGTGTTGCATACATATTGCATACATTCATGGGTATTACTGAACATTATGTGAAAGTTCTAGCAACGTAATAGTAAAACAATAGCAACAATGGACTTTTACCACAGAAGATTAATGGGAGACAGCTCAGGGAGAGAGGAGACAGAGACGCCTGGACTTCTCTGGATCCACACACACACGGTGTTGTTTTTTTAATGTTCTCAGAATTCAGACACACAATACATTTAGTCTGAATTCCAAAAAGTAGAACACTGTCAAGTAAGGCTGCACAATTAATCACAATCTGATCAAAATATCACATTTGTGAACACAATTAACCAATCACAATGACTACAGATGGAAAGTATACATGTAGATGACTGCACCATCTTAGGACAATGTGCAACAGTACATTGTCCTTAAATAACTAAACTAAACAAAGACTGCATTTATCTACATTAAACAGCAAATTATCTTATTGCCTAATATATAAATCTACTGACACTCGAGTTTATAAATACAAAAATCATTGCAAAACAGGATTTAGGATAGAATAGGACTTATAAGCTCTAGTTTAACCTGAAATTAGAATTTTCCTTTTTCACTTTGAACATTATTCTAGCTTCATAACATAAATCCTGATTAGAATTGGAATCGCAATGGTTATCTGAACATTTTTAATTTGATATTTTTTCAAGAGAATTATGGGAGATATTTTATGTAGATTTTTGAAGTGAAGGGGCTACAGACACTGTGTATATACAAAAAACAAATCAAAGATGCAAGAAATGTATGCATGTCAAATGGTTTTAAAAATCAGCAACAGGTGTCTGATCTGAGAAGCTCTTTCGTCATATTTAAAAGGTGGACGTATGAATC